AGACAAGTAAAAGCCATCTCCACATTCAACAGCTATTCATTTATTTGAAATGTCTTGAATCTATCTAATATAGCCTTTATGTCTTCCCTCTCCTACAGTCCTGAGCAACAGTATGGTGAATTTACACAATCTTACACTGGCCTCTCGTGGTGTAAGGCTGTTATTACATCTTAGGTGTACCACTCAGTCAGAGTTTTTAACAGTTGTTTCTCCTCTACTTTGACACTACAACACTTACAGACACAGAAGGTTGTTGTCCTAAAATATTTTGTCCGTTTTGTGCAAGCAGAAAGACTGCTAACTTTAGCAAAGAGACAAATTTACACAGCAACGAACCAAGTCTCGCTGGAAGTTTATAGTCTCAAAGATTATCGCGAGATGCAGAGGCGAGATCTCAATTAGGTGAGCGGCGGGAAGAAACGTAAGATGGCAGCACAGTCTCACCTGTGTGACGGAATTTGTACACCAGACAGTTTATTTAGTAGACACAGAGGCCACGGACCATAACCACAGTTTGGTAAGGGTTTGGTTGTCCCAGTTTGTTATGTTGGACTATTTTTTGGTAACCCAAATCTCTCCCTTTCAGCCATTGACATTAAAATTACCGTGATTAACCTGTTCAATTAACTCTCAAACAGCCGTGTGCTAGCTAACAGCTACAGTATTAGCCTAACAGAGGTCTACTACCTGCCCCAAATAATGACAGGTTCATATGTTTTTTGAAAGGACTGTTACTTATGTGCTGCAAAGTGCTATTGTGGCAGGTAGTTAACTCTTAATTAACCAGGGTAAGAAAATATGTATAGGAAATATTACAACTTAAGCTGTCTCATCATTGCAAGTTGCTGTCACTCATCTCTAATAACATAACACCTGTGTCATTTGAAGGCATCAACATTTTAAGTCACCAGGATGTGGGGTTCAACAACTTATAAATCCCACTGTTATGGCATGGGCCTGTTACATAAAACTTAAGAAAAACTCAAGCTTAATGACAAAGAATAATTTCTCTCATCTTTTGTCTTCTTAATACTGATATCAACTATGACTATCATACACACACTGTGAATTAGTGACATTAGGGTTCATAACAGCCTCAAAAGGGGGGCGCGGACCTCATGAAACTAAACAAACCCAACAACAAGATGACAATGAGCGCTCATTAAATGATCCATTTATACTCAACCCACGAAACACAGGGAATGTGCATGAGTAAATGTATGTCTGTGTGTGCTTTGCAGAGAATAGCAGCGGTAGGATCTGAGACCAGTAATGATCCCAGCAGCCAGAGCTCATGCACTAATTGACTAATTGACGTCACTTGTCAGAGAGAAATCAGAGGCTTCTTGTTCAGGCTAGCTGGGAGGTCGTTAGTTGTAATTAACAAGCTGACTGATCAGGTGAGATTGGGGAAGAGCTTTTAATTATCCTGTCTTCATTACCCAAGAGTTTAAGAGGTTCTTGTAAGTCAGTTTTATGGCTAAAGGGAGGAAGATTAAAGTGTCATTTGGAGTTTTAAAGTGACAACACTGCTTTGTGTCTGTCTTTTCCTTGTCTTCTCCTCAGAGATGTGATGCACATGGCGATTTCAGCAAAAGGAGCCCCATATAGATCAAACTGCCAAGAAGAATCTGCATCTGAGGTAGTACTGTTGAGTGGTGATCATTTCTTGATAATAGCAATGACATGATTACAAAACACCCCACAAGAGTCAGTAATGGTGACTTATTGACTCACATGTTAAAATGATGACTTCAGCATCCGGTGTTTCCTGCTTTGCTATTACAGTTATTGCAAAATGCCAAAATGTCAAACCAAACTTTTGCACTTTTAACCTTTTACTAGTCAGGTTTTCCCAACATTCAGAATCTCAACAGAAAAGCAAACATGAACATAAAAGAACTCAAATATTTCTTGTTCCCTTATAGACCTACTGAGTTTTCTGGATCTTTTCGAAGGAAAGAGCAGCACACCCTCTGCGTAATGCCTCAGAGTAATCTGCATTAAAATAGCTTAGATTTTGAAACTGTCTTATCACCGACTGATTAAACACATAGGTCATTCAGACTGGGCTGGACTGACTGGAGAAATTCAAATATTACACTTTTTTTGACTAAATTTCTCCATATTGATATTGCGACAAAATCATAGGATTGACTATTGGTTCTTTCACAAAATATTTACGCAATTAGATTTTTTTGTTAATGTGGATATAATGACTAAGTAGGTAAAAGCAAATAATAGAACAGCTACAACAGTCTGGAAATTTCAGAAACTTACATAATTTTATTGTAATACAGCATTTAAAACCAGGAACACATGATATTATAATACCCAAAATCTAAGACAATATCTAGTCTCTCATCACCACATCAATATAGTAATGATATATTTCCTCAGCCCATTCCAACTGTAACATTTGCAGTTTTAAACATAAAGTATTTTGTAGGTCTTTCTGTTAAAAATGATCTGTTGCACAGGATGGGTGAATTTTGTCACCAGTTTGTTTAAGATATGTAAAAGAGCTGTCCTTGGTGGCATAGACAGTGATTAAATTAACAAATAACACCCAAAGCAACATCCTCTACAGAAAATTAAAATGAGCAAAGTCACAATACTATGCACATTGTTTGATTGACAGGTGATCCTGAAATCCGGAGGGCCACAATAGAAACACCGCAGCAATGACAGGTAAGCAATAAAGAGAAATATTACTACTAATGATGGTTCAGTCATGAAACTCTTTAGGGAATGATGGAGTTGTACTGAGCTACAGAACAGCACTTGTGTACAACAGAAGCATTTAATGTTAATTATTAAAACATGAAGCTCCATTAGCACCTCGCTCAAGGTCACTCCAGCTGGGCACCGTGCCATCATTGGAGGAGGGCTAGTCAGTCTGTATAACCACAAGGCGACTTCTTCCTCTTTGTCTGTTCAATAATTAGGTAACTTAATGAACGAGCGGGTTTCACCAGATTTGCCCTGATCCAATTAAAAGCAGTGTAAGGTTGTGTAAACATCAGGTTACAGTACTTCTAATTATAAACTGCTGGGTCATATTTAAAAAAAACCTCTACTAATTACACAATAGCAAACAAGTGTGAAGAATAAATCATTTACAAATCAGAAATCCTTAGAGTCTATACGTGTTCATTTGCACGCAACCTAAATTCATTATTTATCCCAGAGAATGAATAAATTGTCCCCGTTAGCCTGTGATTGAACTTGAAGCTGGTGAAAAATTCAGCCTGTGCTGCCGTACCCCAGTGAGCCACTATCTAATGAAAATAACTGAGCAAGAACCAAAGCACAGGCTTTAATGATTGCATTTGGGTTGGGAGTGGAAACTGAGAAAATAATGAGAAAGAGGAAAGAGACTCAAGAAGAGACTTTGGTACAGAGAAAGTGAAGGAGAAGGTTTGTTTTAGAATTGATTTTATGATCGTACTAATGAATACAAAAATAACTACAAACCTGGGTCAAAATATTACACTTTTTTTGTTTAATTAATGACCCAATATAAAGATTAGAAAAAATATACACTGGATAAAAGTTACCACAGTTTTTGGGTTTACTTTATGACCCAGTAGAAATGTAAATATGTCATTGTTAGTGGGTCAAAACAACCCCATATTTGTATGGCTCAATAACCCAGTAGAAAGTAATAACACAAAAGTGGGTCACAATAACTCATTTACTTGGTGTGATTTGTTTCCCAGTGGTTTCTCTGCTTATTGGCACTGGTTAAACTTTCCCCAGTACTGGGTCAGTGCTAGACTGGGTACCATGACTGACCCAAATTGGATTAAAATTGCCCCATAATTTTCTACTGTGTACTTTTAATGCACTTTATGGCTTGGCCTCAGATAATATCTTTTGTGTCAGCACCCTCTTATCAACCTGCACACAATCTGAGGTCCTGAGACAGGAGCATGTTGGTTTTCTCATGGCAAGACTCAAGGCTTTCACACACTGGGGGTGTGACGACAGAACGACACAAAAATGCGAAATACTTAGCTGCATCAAAGGTATTGATATCAGTGTAACACCATACTCTGTGGTGTGTTAGATTCTGTGACTCAGCACCAGACCCTTTTAAGAAATCAGTGTTTTGTGAGTTTTTGAGTGATTAGGATTTGCGTTGAGGGGCTAGGTCACAGACTCTGAGTGGTTATAGAATTTAGTGTAACACTGCCAGCAATGCAAATTGATGACAGTTGCAACAGGTCTGCCATTATTGTGAGGTTGTAACGTGACATCCGTTTGGCACAATATGATTGGTTGATGCCTTTATTCACAGTGCAAAAACTCTACACGTGAGACTTAATCGTAAGGGGAAAAAATGCTCCCGGTGTGTAAAGCACTTTGATATAAGAAAAAAGGGTTTGCTGTTGGGCACCTCAACTTTAATCTGTCCGACAAACTTTATTCTTGTATTTCCGAAAACCAACTTTCATTGAAAGCCTTTTTTATTATTTTATTTTAATTGCGAACATGTCCAATTCTAATACATGTCCATCTGTGTATGTAGGTTCAGATTAATTTTCTTATGGTTGCTTTTTTGATCTTTGTTTGTGAAGTTTAGTTAATTTTCTTATTGTTGTTATGGTTTCATTGTTTGTGTGCCCTCTGTAAAGCTCAGAGTAATCACTGGTGCTGATAGATGTTATATGTTATAAAGAAAGTAGGGGAAAGAGAAGAGTAAGTGGGAAAGTATGTGCAAAAGAAAAAATGGTGAAGGCGAGGAAGTGAGAGAATGAGAGTGAGAAAATGGGAGTAAAGATGAAAGCTGATTTGTCTCTCTCATTTCCACTTTAACTAGGTTTTCCCTGAGCAGTGAATAGGTGTGCGTGCCTGCGTTTGTGTGTGTGCAGGGTGGCCACAATGATCTGGGATCCTGCTCCCTCCGCCTCCCAGAGAGAGAGAGAGAGAGAGAGAGAGAGAGAGAGAGAAAGAGAGAAAGAGAGTGAGCAGTCACATGCAGAGAGGAGCCAGGACGAGAGACAGAACAGAAGAGAGCTGTCAAGCTGCGAGGAGGCAGCGGAGAGACGACTTAGTTTTTTCTTGGAATACATTTTCCCTTCATCTCTGAAGCCCACACACACACTCAGAAAATATAAACACACAAACACACAGATGGTAAAGTGTGTGTGTGAGTGCTGCTGTTAGGAGCGGTGAATTATTTTCAGGATCTGGACTTACTCAAGCATGACTCAAGACTGTTTGGATTCAGCATCTCTGTGACTTGGACTTGTGTTTTTAACAGTGCAACACTTCGGACTAAGAGCGTGCATCCCTGTGTGTGTGAGTGTGTGTTTGGATTCAGCACTTCACTTGAATGCAACACTGAGATCTTGACACTTTGTTAGTTGCCTGACTTTGTGAGATTGGGCTCACACTTGGACTCAGTGTGCGTTTGTGTGTGAGAGGAGGATGATGTGTTGGCCGGTGACAGCCATCCTGCTTGCCCACCTCGGGGCTACCTTAACGGGGGCGTGGAGAGCATCTCAACCAAGACTGCAGTTCACACACTCTGGTAAGAGGCTTTTTGTTTTTAGTGGTTCAAGTCTTTTTTTCTGCTCTTACTGTCTAATACATCTGTCCTGAATTGCTTCTCATTCACACACACACATGCAGGTGATGGGAATCGTGCACCTTCTTCTCATTTCTCTCTTTTCTTCCTTTCCTGTTCTATTACTGCCCACACACTCTTATGCGATATGTTGAATGCAAATGATAACTTGCCTTTCTGTCTCTCTATCCATTTGGTTTCTTTCCCACACTGTCTCACTTCCTCCATCTCTGTAATCACCTGTGCTGAATACATCTTCCTCCAGCAGTCAAGTTGGGCTGTGAAAGCCTCATCTTTAGCCCACCACACTTTCTACTCTCACCATGAAGTCTGGCCAGAAGACGCATTATTTAAGTACCCATTTTGTCTTTTTAACACACTCATCATGGAGAAATGTTGGGAATGGAGTGCCCAACCCCCTTAAATATTCAGCATTAAAACTGGTTACAGCATATTACAGTGAGAGCAGCTCCAACACCTTACAGGAAAAATTCTACCTCATTCTAACTTGGGTCTGATTTTCACAGACCATCACTTTATCCATCACTTTTTCCAGTTACAATAACATTGTAAAGTAATTATGTAGATCTGGAGACACAATCACATCACTACAACAAAGTCAGACGGGATAAGAAACACATGTCAGACAATCAGACGGGTTGTAACAAAGACAATAGTGTAGCCAGATTGTCTAAACCACATTATATGTAAGTAAAACTGACCTGAAATGTTTCGTTTATTCTCTTAATACGCTGGAAAACTGTCTGCACCATGGAAGAGTGGGTCAAAGTTGAACGATGAAGTCGGTCTTTAATCTATGATGAATGTTTACAAACTACAGTTTGGATTATAGTTTCACCATCCCCCTATGTTTTCCCCTCCAAAATTTTGATCCAAAGTTTGGTTAAGCAGGGAGAATGTTTAAAACCTGTCTGGATGCCTGACTTTTTGTGTTCCTTGCCCCGCTGAACTTTTTTTAGTGATGCAGACATGTTCCCACATCTAAGGAATTTGGTGAGTACAATGTTACTGTTACTGGTGGGAATAATGGAGAAAACTATGAAAATAAGAACTGAGATCATCCTTTCAGACTTTTTCTTACAGCGTCTTTGAAATGTGAGTTACCCTGGCATATCAACAAGGCTGCAGAAAGGCTATTTTATTACCTAGAGATTTATTTTCAGTGGAAATAAAATCTTATGGCAACATCTTTGAAACACTTAAGCAATTAAGCTTCACACCCCAAAGAAATTGTCCCTGTCATCCTTGACAGGACAGACAACACCCCTCAGGATCTGAAATCAAGTGTCTATGTCTGTTAGTTTCAGTTATGGCTAACAAAGAAATAATAATCTGATGGCAGAAGTCCCAGATCCAGATCACCACCAAATTAATTATTTCTTGGCCCCGGGCCGATCTGACCAGGCAGAGGTTGCTGAAAAAACCTGCAGACACACACAACAGAACAACGGGAAAGGGAAGCCATGATTCATTTTTACTAAGATATGAAATTTCAGCTGTTTATTTAACACACACTGTGGTGGTGAACTGATTTGTGCACTGGTATTCTGATGTGTTTCACCCTTTTTTCTCAGTGTCTCAGTCTTTTTCTTCGTGCACTTGTTAGTCGCCACTCTGCAGTGCGCAGCAAAAACACATGTTGTTGAATCACAATGCCAGTGTTGAACAGGAGCACAGTCTCTCCTGTCAGTACGTTTATGCATGGTTGAATTGGAGACGATGGGTTAAAAGTGTGCAGCTTCTAGTAGTTGTTGCCATTTGTTTTAGGATTGTGAAAGCAGCAGTTGGGTGGGGTTTGACTCACTGGAGCATAGGAGAGAGGTTTGGTGGACACTGAGATGCCCTGGAGCATCAGTCTGCTCTTCCAATCAGGCTAGATTCAACACTTTGACCAGTGTTGGGTATAACAAATGTGACGGTCAAAAGTAATGTCAAAGCTAAGACCTACATCTTCTAATTAAAACAGGATTTGGGGTTCGATCTTTTGACCTCTCAGCCCATATTTACCATAAATCACTTTCAAATTAAAAGCTTCTTTGAGGCGTCCAGGCCTTTAGTTACGGTAAGATAAACTCATCTGCCTTTAATCATGTATACCAGAGACACCGTCGAGTAAGAAACCAACTGATTACACGTTCTTACATAAGCCAAAACACAAAGGGTCTGTGAAGTGGATGTGATAAGGCTGAAGTCGACCAGTCGTGACCTAGAAAGTACAGAGAGAGGGAGAAGGGAAACCTTGTTGGATTCTCCCAGGTGGGAATTTAGCTCTAATGAAATCTGAATGTGAAGAGCTGCTAAAGTAGCTACGTGTGTGTGTGTGTGTGTGTGTGTGTGTGTCTTTGTGGGCATACATGAATTATATGCCTGGATGTCCTTGAGTATGTGTGTGTGTGGTTGCATATGCTTGGATGTGTGTATGGAGTGTATGAAAGTCAGTGCATGTATGTATGTAGTTCTGCTTAAGTCACTTTGAAGACATGAGCGTGTGTGTGTGTGTGTGTGTGTGTGTGTGTGTGTGTGTGTGTGTTTGTGTGTGTGTGTGTGTGTACTTACATCGAGCTGTTTTAGTTCCAGGATCTCTGCCCACCTCAGTCTCTGTTGAGTATTCCACTCATGACTTTGAACAACAGAGGTTTGTGTTTGTTTGACTGTGTGTGTTTTATAGCTGCAGTATATTAAGCTTTGGAAAGACAACAAAAAGAAATGTGTGATGTGATGTGTGTAGAGATTGTGATGTCCACCATCATGCCTGTGTATGTGTGTGTGTGTGTTTGTGTGTGTGCTCTCTCTCTCTCTCTCTCTCTGTGGGAGCTCCATGCTGTGGTCATTTCCCTTCCCATCTCCACGGAGGTTTTTCTCAGACAGAGGGAGGACATTTTTTGTCAGGGAATCGCTGTAATTAGAAAAGGATTTCAGCTCCACTTAAACACTTTGACTCTGAGTTTTTTTTTTTTGTTAGCATTTTAGAGACACTGTACATTTTCCTGCGTCTGTTGAACTCATTGCTGACAAGCGCTTAAAAAAACAACATGAGAATATTAACCAAATGATATGGGGTATGTGCAGTTTGAGATCACTAATTTGATAAACCTGTTATTAAACTGTATAATATACAATATAACAAATTATATGAAAACATAGAATATAAAGAAAAACTAAACATGAAACTGCAGAGAAATTACCGCTTAATATTTTATTAACACATCAGTTCAGCAAAAAGGGGTGTTAATCTGACACTATAATAGTGCTGTTTCACTCCACTGCCAGCAAATTCTGTAAGAGTGAGACCATTTTGTAATGCATGATATTGAAATAAAACTGCACTGTATACTTCTGAAAACTATAAACCTTGTAATTAAGTTGCTTTTCACATTATAATTTCCTCTACTGGCTGAGAAACTACTCCAACCACTGTGCTTTTGAAACATGTTCAAACCACACTGAAATCCATCAAGCAGAAAATTGGGCTTTTTTGACATAGAAAGGTTTCACCTGCCAGCAGCCATAAACTATTTTATTTAACTTACCAGCAGAAACGTCAAACTGAAGTTGTGTCCCAAGTGTGAGAAAATGTCTGATTCTAATGGGGCTTTAAATATGTACTGCGTTTACTCGGGAAGAAATGACAAAACTGTATATACGTATATATTCAGCCAGTAATAGTGGGATGGTGTTAAAATTGATTAAAGAAGAAGGATCCATGAAAACAGAGTCTTTTCGACTCTAGTAGTGCTATGGAGTTCCTGTTTTGTTTATCTTGTGCACAATGATGTACACCCATGTGAGAGCTATGTGACGCAATACAGTACTACGAATTGTGTCACAATACTCCACTGATCAACAGGTGGTAACACACCAATATACACTGCAAAGTGCTGGGAGAGAGGGATGTTGAAGAGGACTACAAGCTACTAAACATGAAATGCCCTCAAAGTCTACCAGCTGCTTGTAAAATGTTATTAGCAGAGGATGGTTTCGATCCATAGACCTCTGGGTTATGGGCCCAGCACGCTTCCGCTGCGCCACTCTGCTGTAAACCACCCCAGATGGGACTTGAACCCACAATCCCTGGCTTAGGAGGCCAGTGCCTTATCCATTAGGCCACTGGGGCTTGATGTAAAGCCACCAACAATAGGTTTAGCAGAAACATTGTCTTTGAACAATACAACAGTGGCTTCTGAGGTCGCCATGGCAGTGGCAGAGGTGACACAACTAGAGATAATGTAACTCACAGTGATATTGGCTTGGGCTGGAGACAGAGTGCTTTATCCAATAGGCCACGGGGGCCTCATAGAACACAAGCTGACCAGTTTTGTTAAGACACAGTAGCCCTCTTTACAAAGCAATCGCACAAGAGGGCTGCTACAAAGTCCCCTAAATGGATTGGAAAACCCTGAGTTAACAGAGCCATTTAACAACTAGCTTCATGATACCAGTTATCTAGGCTTCCAGATGTTGGTCTCAGTGATGCCAGATAACCCAAAGACAGCCAGACTGACTTGGTATATCTTTGAGATTTCAGATCCTTACCTCTAGTTGAATTACACCATTGACCCATTCAGAGGGCCTACAAATCTGGGTTTAATGATTTGTTGTGTCAGTCAGAAAGCAGTGGAAGAGACCTCCCAGTAAAACACTGTTAGCAGAGGATGGTTTCGATCCATCGACCTCTGGGTTATGGGCCCAGCACACTTCCGCTGCACCACTCTGCTGTCAGCAACATTGGATATTGTTTACATTTAAAATGATACTTGTACATTGATTGATTATGTGAAATGTTGCTTCCGACGTAACTCATGGGGTTCCCCTAAAAACCACCAACTTTGAGATCCAACCTAGATGGTCAGTCACCCCAAATGGAACTTGAAGCCACAATCTCTGGTGTAGGAGGCCAGTGCCTTATCCAGAGTCCCACTTTAGTTAACGCTATTTGAACTACC